CTTCAGCCTGTTTTAGCTGTTATATTTTAACTTTAGCTCACGTTTAGCTGATTTCAGCCTGTGTTCGGCCTGTTTTAGCTGTATTATCAGCTAAAACGAGCCTTCTCTCAGCACTCTGTTTAAACATGTAACCAGTATTGTGGGCGGAGCTCTAACAGTACGGTGGTGTTTTGTGTTCCTGGACTCCAGTTCCCATCAGCCCTCGGTGGAGGCGTGGTCAGAGATGATGCTGACGGCGGAGGGCACGCCCTCAGACGGTCACTGGCTGGTCCGTCAGGGAGGGGCGGGGCCTGACTCTGTGCTGCGGCAGCTCCTGGGGAAGGACTCGTCTGAGCCCATGTGTTCCAGAGAGAGACCGGCTCCCGGGTCCGGTCTGAGCAGGGAGGGGTCCGGGGCCCACAGAACGGGGCTCCTGGAGAGGCGGGAGCTGAAACTGGCCAGACTCAAACAGATCATGCAGCGCTCGCTCAGTGAGTCCGATTCTGACGGGTATCCACCAGAGGAGGGCAAAACCCAGGGAGCTCCGCCCACAAACAGCTCCCGCCCTGATAGGCCATCCCACCTGTCAATCACAGAGGAGGAGCCGGTATCGACCCATCTCAGTCAGATGATGAGGAAGCACCTCCCTGCCTCCTCCTCATCTTCATCAGCTGACAGGAAGCTGGCCTTCACTCTCAGCGGGTCCAAGTCTGTGGACAGCATCGGGTCCAACCCCTTCCCCTCGTCCAGCGACCCCGAGGCCCCGGACAAGACCCCAGAGACCCCCGCCGACGGGCAGAAAGGTGCGACCAGCCCCAAGAGTGCCTTGAAGTCCCCGTCGTCCCGCAGGAAGACGTCCCAGAACCTGAAACTGAGGGTCACCTTCGACGAGCAGGTCCACAAGAGCTCCACCCAGGAGGCGGAGCCAAGCAGGGCTCCTCCGGGGAGGGACCGGACCCCCGGCGGGGGCTCTGAGGGCAGGAGGCCTTTCGGGACCTTCCGCTCCATCATGGAGACGCTGAGCGGGAACTCAAACCACAACAACAACAGCAGCAGCCAATCAGCCTCCGGCCTCAAACACACCTGTCACAACTCACCTGGCAGGAGGGCAGAGGGGAAAAACAGCCCCGGGGGCGGAGCCAAGGCCAAGAGCAAAGTCAGCAACGTTTAACCAGCCAGTGCCTTCTGAGTGCCAAGATCCCCCCGAAGAACCCAGTGAGACCACCAGAAACCAGTTGTGAGCCTGTCAGCTTTAAGGTCAACAAACCATCCTTCAAAATAAAAGACTTGTGTTTCTGTTGTGTGCCTCAGACTTTCAGATTAAAGGTGAGTCAGATTTTCACTTGAAGTTAGGCTCAAATGAAGGTTTTACTTCCTGTTCCTGATCACATGTTGAACTGGTCATGGTTCGTGCACGTGGTTAACGTGCACCAGCACAACTAATACCTGAAGACCACTGTGTGTATATACATACATATATATAATATTTAATTTTTTACTTTGTGTTTTATGGTTTGTATCTATGCAGTATTTTAGCTGTTTGCAGAGCAGGAAGTCTGCTTTTATTCTGAAGGAAACGTTTCATTTTTACAGACGAAGGCTGAAACTGATCAGTTCAGCCTGATGTGACAATAAAACATTATTTTTACTCTGATTTTCTGCACGTGGTCAGACTGCAGCTCATGTTCTGACACAAACTATTACAGGACTTAAAATGTTAATTTTTTTATTATGTTTTTGGGACATTTAGTAAACCGTATTTTTATAAATCCATCAGTCAGATGAACAAAACAAATCAGCAGCTTTGGGGCTTTACCTGAATCTTCATCACAGTCTCCTTCAGGACGAGGAAGAGGACGGACGTCACTGAGTGGATTTATTCTTCAAACTAAGAGTTTTTATTTGTTTGTACTGATCTGAGCTCAGAATATTTTGCTAACAGAAACAAGTTGTTTCCTTTGCTTCGACTTTTCATGAAAACTAAAATAAACTTTGGACTTTTTGCTGGAGTCGTCACATTTTTAGTCTGATTTCAGTGGTGGGAACAGTTCCCCTAAAGCACTAATAAAGGAAAAGATTTCCTGATTAGTGCTTTAGGGCTTTTGGTATTTTTAAATTCATTAGTGGATTAGCACTTGCTAAATTTAGAAGCACTAACTGAGGTCTATGAATGTTATTGATCAACATTATTAACAGTTGAAGGTGAAAGCTGTCACATTTTGTTCATATGTGTGTCACTTAGCTACAAGGGCACGTGTCAAACTCAAGGCCCGCGGGCCAAATGTGGCCTGCAGGTGACTCAAATTTGGCCCACCAAGAGACAACATTCAGCACACACTGAATATTGTCTCATGTTGACTGAAGGTTTCATGTGGCAGCTGGAAATTACTGCTTTAGAATTAGGGGACATAAATATTTGAGTTAGTGCTTTAGAATTAGGGGACCTAAATATTTGAGTTAGTGCTTTAGAATTAGGGGACAAATATTTGAGTTAGTGCTTTAGAATTAGGGGACCTAAATATTTGAGTTAGTGCTTTAGAATTAGGGGACAAATATTTGAGTTAGTGCTTTAGAATTAGGGGACTTAAATATTTCAGTTAGTGTTTTAGAATTAGGGGACTTAAATATTTCAGTTAGTGTTTTAGAATTAGGGGACTTAAATATTTCAGTTAGTGTTTTAGAATTAGGGGACAAATATTTGAGTTGGTGTTTTAGAATTAGAGGACTTAAATATTTCAGTTAGTGTTTTAGAATTAGGGGACTTAAATATTTGAGTTGGTGTTTTAGAATTAGGGGACTTAAATATTTGAGTTAGTGCTTTAGAATTAGGAGACCAAAATATTTTAGTCAGTGCTTTAGAATTAGGGGACTTAAATATTTGAGTTAGTGCTTTAGAATTAGGGGACTTAAATATTTCAGTTAGTGCTTTAGAATTAGGGGACCTAAACATTTGAGTTAGTGCAACTAATATTTAGATTAGTGCTGCCCACCACTGCCTGATTTTATCAAGTCAGAAAAGTTGAGTTTATGTTTTCAGGTCAGGATGGAACCTGTGACCTCCTGCTGAGAGGCCACAGCTCTACCCGCTGCACCACCGTCCTGCCTGCTGTTAGATCATATCTGTTAAAACGTGGCAGTTCAGGTTTTGTTTCCATCGTTGTGACTCAGAGGAAGATTTCCTGCTGTCTCTGAGCTTCTCCTCTCAGGATGCTGGCTGGGACCTCCTGTGAGGCTGCCGGGGGTCCTCCGCAGGTCCCAGGACCACCGCTGATGGAGATGGATGCTCTGGGTGAGTCGTACTCACCGGTAATTTAACGCACCATGTAGAACAGAGCGGATATTTATTTCTGTGGGCTTCAGCGGCATCAAAAACAGTCACTTAACGCGGCAGATTTATGGTGTTTGGGAAGCAAATTGGTGTTTGATGGTTCCCACGCAGGGCCGGCCCCCCTCCCCACGGAGCCTAATGGGGTCCGCTCTAATGGCCCCCTCAATCATGGCAGCAAATATGAAACATGAGCTGGAAGGCTGACAATTAGTAAAACAAGATTCACACAGCAGGCTTTTTCACATCCTCCTCGCTGTTCAGGAAACAAAAAACTGCAGCGATTTGTTTCCTTTCTTCACCTCCTTTTTACTCAGCTTTTCTTATGGGGGGGCTGAGGGGGGGCAGGGGGGAGTTAAACTGATAAATTAGACCTCATTTATTGGACAACAGTTTGAGTCAATACCCAGGGGTCTGTGCTGCGGACGAGGCTCCACAGCCACTAATTGGTTCACTCTGTTTGCTGAAGAGGGGGTGTTTACGGACACACACACACACACACACACCAGGAAACCGAGGAAG